CCGTCGGCTCGGGTCCCCCCCCGCCCCCGCCCCGGGGACCGCCCTGCGGCCTGGCCGCCGGCTGGGCAGGCTCCACGTGGTGGGTGGGGGTGGGGCTCCTTCCCCCCTCGGCCCCGCTTTCTCTCGCCCGCCCGGAACTGAGTCTGCACTGCTTAGTTTGCGGAGCGCTGTGGCTATTGTCCCCATGTTTTATGAGACGACTGGGTCGCGGAATATCTAAGGGATTATTTCAACACGAAAACTAGCTCGAGAACACTTGTCACTGAGATCTCGCATCCACATTGGTGGAAACTGGCCCTGCCCAGTGAAGGCACTTTCCCAGGGCTGCTTCACAGCTGTTAAATAGCAGAGCCGGATTCCAGCCCCGCTGTCTGCCTCCAGGCCCCAGCTCCTTGAGCTGCAGCTCCAAAGGCTGTCGTTACTGTTTTGGAATTTGGAAGGCGACCCAGCTTGTAGACAAGTGTGAAAACGGGAAATTTTGAGCCATGGTTTTCTTCTTTTTCTTTCTGTGCCTCAGAAAGTTCTAACCATTTAAACATGGCCATAAAGTGCTTAGCAAGGCACCCGTATAAAATGAGCACTAAGTAAATGCACCTCAGATTGAAGAATTGAATCAAACAGTTCAGAGATGTCTAGAAATTGTCAACGGTTGATATTTCTTGATCTGCAGAAACAGCAAATGTATATGGTTCAAACTATCCTCTAGACGTTTCTAGAAAAGTGTCAGGGTTCCAGGGACTCAAAACTAGCCTGCGGTGGGAGTGGTAGGACACTAGGAAGACCCAGCATGGCTTGAATTCTGCTCAGACTCTGGCACTCTGCTTTGAGGCTAGTTTCACTTGCAGATTTGGGCGAGGGCTGAGTGCCCTGCCCCAACCCTCCTCCTGATAAGGCCTCCTGAAGGCCAAAGGACTTTTGCCAAAACGGCTGCTCTGACTCCTTGCGTGTGTCTACGAGAACAGATGGGCCAGGTGGACTGGCAGCTTCTGGGTGAGCTTGACTCCCTTCTTGCCCAGACCAGCTTCCAAGGCTGGCTGTAAATGTCTGAAAGTCCATGCTTCCAGTTGCCTTCCTTTATATATTTTGTGTAAATTTCTTGTTCTTTTTTTTAGTAATTTTATTCATTGTCATTATTTTATTTTTATTTATTTATATTTTTATTGTAGCTGATCAGGGAGAAAAAAGGAAAGCAAGAAAGCAAGCTGCCAGGTCTGGGACTCGAACCATGGTCAACCATGTGGGAGCCCAGCCACCTTAACCACCACGTGACCTGCTGACTCCTATTATGTGTAAATTTCTCTTCTTCTTTCTTTCTTCTGTAAGTGAAAAAAGACAGAGACAGTAGCCCCGACAGGGACACTGGTCCATCCCCAGCCCCAATTGGTGAGGTCTTCAAACTTGCATTGGGAACCTTCCCACGTGGGTCTGCCTTGCAAAGGGTCTCAGTTTACCATTGCACCACCATCTGGCCCCCATAATAGCCTTACTTTATCCAATTCCTTTTCTTCTTGGTAAATTTTTTAAATGCCCAGCCTCTTTTAACACAATTCCACTTCTAGAACTTTTTCCTAAGGTTATATGTGCAAATGATTGTAGCATCACTTATTAAACACTAGAAACAATGTACTGTAATGTCTAACAAGGGTTTCACTGAGTGAATACATTATATGCCAGTTAATGGAGTATTATATATTTTTTAATAAATGTATTTACTTATTTATTTTATTCGACCAAAGAAGGACAGAGCGAGAGAGAGAGAGAGAGAGAGAGGGAAAGTGAGAAAGCAAGCCACCTGGTCCAGGACTTGAACCACCGTCAGCCATGTGGGTGTCCAGCATGTCACCTGCTGTCCAGGCACATTATAAATGAAATTATGTAATTGTATATGTATTGACATGGAAATATGTCCTTGAAGGCCAGCCTGGAGGTTAAGGCAGCTGAATCCCACTGAACCATTCAAGTCCCAGACCTGTGCTTGAAAATCATGCTGGATGTGTATGCATCTGTGCCAAAAATCCCCAGAGAATGAAGCAGGAGGGATTTTGGTGTAGCCATCCCCCCAGTGAGTGATTTCCCATTTTTCCTCCCTTTCTCTGTCTCCATCCAGCAAATACACGTTTTATAGCAAACTAAAAAAAAAAAAAAGATAACTTCAATATAGTGTTGGGTGGAAAAACAACTTTTAGAAAGTAATCAATAGGAGACCAGCAGGGGGCGTG